AAAGGAAAATGGAAAAGACTCCTCAAAATACTATTGTCTGTGAAGCCTCTAATAACTCTGATGGATGTCGGGACGAGATCCACGATACCCTAACAAAACAAAACTGAAAGGTAAATGGGAATCCTCCGAAAGCAAAGAGGTTCACCAAAGCAAATCTGGACTGCAAGTGGTATCAACAGAGCGCCTATTGATTACCCAAAATACCTGTATCTGCATCATGAAAAGATTCAGGACAAATGACGTCAGTACATTGAATGTACTAGCATGTAAAGGGAACACTGAACATAACATAAAAGCTTGAACTTGGAAAGAAAGAAACATACTCACATCATATCAACTCAACTCAATAATACTCAACTCAATGATACCCAAATCAATTCAAGAATACTCAACTCAATAATACTCAACTCATTATAAAGCAACAATAAAAGATTGCAATATAAATAAAGCTTTTAAAACACTAGATAATAATTAAATGTATTTAAAAATACAATAATAACACTTTACTCTTATTTGAGAGATTCTCTAACCGACAACCATCACTATGAGCTATGTGATGATACAACGTCTCGTCCACGTTGCCAGAACTATCCTATACCTTGCCGGAGTATAAGACATCCTCAACTATGTGGATCCATTAAGATCTGCCTGAAGGAACTTAGGATTCATCTAAAGAGTATGATCATGTACCCATGTTGGCATACATAGTTTATGAGGACTTTGAATTGTTTGAAATCGTCCCCATATCGATGATCAATACTACTCCCAATAATATAGCGCATGATCAAATGTTTAAAAATATTTTCTCATCCTCAACTTTGAGATTATTACTCAAAAGATTCTCTTAAAAGAGATAGTGCTCAAAACTCCTCATGAACTCATTTGGAAATCAAGGTTTCCCATCATTTTAAATGTAAAAATATTTACTCTTGGGAATACTTAGTTCCATTATATTCATTTGAAAAAATGAAACTCAACTCTCTCCTCATCCTCAAGTACTCAAGTATTAAAACAAGTTTCAAAAGGTTGCAAAATACTTCTCAAAATGACTCAAAGGACTCCCTTGAACTTTACTCTCAACTCTATCTTGAATTTGAAATGTGAATTCAAGAATTATGATTAGGGTATGATCTCTCAATGATTAAATGAAGTTTAGATAGTTGATAATAAGAAACGAGTGAAAACACAAACGGGAGGACACTGGTGCGGCGCAGATGGTGATTTAAATTTTTGGTCGCGAAATAATTTTTGATGTAGAGGACTCCATTTCGTCACCGTGAGTGGAGAAGGGGTAGTTATCTGGGGACTGGAAATCTTAAGCTCCTCCGCGACACGGACCTGAGCATAAATATTTTCCCGATCTTTTCTTCCTCTCCCAAACTCGATTCGACTGATACCCACTTCAGTTCTATGGTCCAAATTCACAAAATTTCACAAACCCAGAACTGTTCAATGAAACCCACACAATACTCAATCAAGAGACTCAACTATTTCGCAAAGTCCTCACCTCAAGGATTTCAAAGACCTCAATTAATCAATTTAACTCAAGAACTTCTCAAGAACTCAATAATGAACTCATGGGTAAATTTTTACATGATTGGTGTGAGGTTGAACAAACCCAACACTATGAAAGCTTACATATCTCGAAAGAATTGAATTCTTGGCAAAATCCTCCAAACTTGACGAACGCTTGAAGCTTTCTCCTTTTTCTCCTCTTGAGCTTTGCCGTAGTTTCTTGAACGCGATTATACCCCTTAATTTAGGTGGGAAAAACGTTTTAGACTAGTGGGGTATGAAAAAGACCAAAATACCCCTCCTTAAAATGAATGAATTCCGTTAACTAGGCTATACTCAAACAAATATATATCCTTCTTCCAAACTTGGAATTTAGATAACTTGGTGCCGTTGAAAAGAGGAATCAAAGATCTTTCATTTGATTTCTTATGAGCCATCTAACTTATAATGAGCTGAAAGTTATGGTCGTTTCAAGTTGACCTAAAACTCACAATTTAAGACTAACTCACAAAATTCTCAATTTAGCTCTTTCTAATTTAGTCCTTTCTAAATTTAGCTCTTTCCGAGACCGAGGTGTTACAATATCTCCCCCTTGGGATCATTCGTCCTCAAATGAAATTACTCTACGTAGAAATGAGGGTGGAACATCTACACCCAACAAGTTATAAATCATAACTCAATATTTCAACTTAAAGAGTATCAAGAAAAGAATTAGTACCTTGATTTGGAATTCTCTGGGAGAAAAGAGATGTGGGTATCTCTTCTTCATATCCTCCTCAGCATGCCAAGTAGCTTCCTCAACAAACTGATTCCTCCATAAGACCTTGACTGCTGCAACCTCTTTAGTTCCCAACTTGCGAACCTGACGATCCAGAATCTGAATGGGTATATCCTCATAAGATAGATTGTCCTTAATACCAATATTCTTAGTCGGTATAATAAGTGAAGGATAGCCCATACACTTCTTCAACATAGAAATGTGAAACACCGGATGGACTGCAGCTAACTCTGGTGATAGCTCCAACTCATAAGCTACATTGCCAATTCTCTTGGATATCGTGTAAGGACAAATATACCGGGGACTGAGCTTCCCCTTCTTACCAAATCTCATAGCACCCTTCATGGGTGAAACCTTCAGGTAAACCCAATCATCCACCTCAAACTCAAAGTCTCTTCTACTAACATCTGTATAAGATTTCTATGGGCTTTGTGCTATCTTGAACCTTTATTGAATGGTCTTCACCTTCTCTATGGCTTGATGAACCATGTCTGTTCCTATAAACCTAGCTTTACGAACCTCAAACAATCCAGTAGGAGATCTACATCTTCTCATAGAAAGAGCCTCATAGGGAGCCATCTGGATGCTAGAGTGATAGCTATTATTGTAAGCAAACTCTATGAGAGGTAAGTGATCATCCCAATTTCCCTTGAAATTGATCACACAAGCCCTCAACATATCCTTTAAATTATGATTGTGTGCTCTGCTTGACCATCAGTCTGAGGATGAGAAATAGTATTCAGGTTCACATTTAAACCCAACCCTTTCTGGAAAGACTTCCAAAATTGTGCGGTGAATTATGCACCTCTATCTGAAATGAAAGACACAGGAACTCCATGAAGTCTGACTACCTCTTGAATATATAATCTGGCATAATCCTCTGCTGAATAGGTAGTCTTTACCGGTAAAAAATGGGCTGATTTAGTCATTCGATTTACAATCACCCAAATCAAATCATGTTGCCTACGAGAATGCGTCAGACCAGTAATGAAATCCATATTGATCATCTCCCACTTCCATTTCAGAATATCTATATTCTAAGCCATATTGTCGGGCCTTTGGTGCTCTACCTTGACTTGTTGACAATTCGGGCACTTAGCAACGAACTCATCCACCATGATGGATTGAATATCTGGAGCTATGAGCTTCCTCCATGATCCTCTCTTGGAATTAATCCACCTTTGGCATACACAATCTACCTTGATACCTCAATACACCACCTTCCCCTTGTTCAAAAGTCATAACTTTCTGCTTATGAACATTTTCCTTCAATTCAAGCAAAATAGGATCTTGTTCTTGTTTCTCCTTCACTTCGGACGCTAGTGATTATTCACACCCATTCATCACCACTACTCCACCTTTATTGGAATCCAACAACTGGACTCCTAGTCATGCAAGTCTGTGCACATCTTTGGCTAACTCTTTCTCGCCTTCCTCAACATGGGCAGTAGTACCCATAGACAACCTGCTCAAAGCATCAGCAACAACATTTCATAATCCTTGAGTAAGTCCAACCATGTTCTCTTTATGAGATTAAGATCTTTCACACTGAATACATACTGAAGACTGTTGTGATCGGTGAACACATCTTCATGAAAACCATAGAGATAGTGACGCCATATTTTCAAAGCAAATACTACAACAACTAATTCTAGATCATGAGTCGGGTAATTCTTCATGTGAATATTAAGTTGTCTGGAGGCATAAGCAATAACCTTGACATTCTGCATCAATACACAACCAAGTCCAACTCTGGATGAATCACAATACATAACAAAGCCTTGTGTACCTTTTGGTAGGGTCAATACTGGGTAATAGTTAACCAGGATTTCAATTTTTGAAAGCTCTTCTCACAAGCTTCAGACCATTGATACTTTGTTTTCTTCTAAGTCAACTTAGTCAACATGGATGAAATAGACGAGAACCCCTTGACAAACCTTACATAATAACCAGTCAATCCCAAAAAGCTCTTTATATCAGCTCTAAATGTGGCTCTAGGCCAGTTCTGTACAACTTCAAACTTCTGAGTGTCAACTCGTATCGCTTCACCAGATACAATGTAGCCTAAGAATGCCACAGACTCAAACCAAAACCCACACTTAGAAAATTTGGCATACAACTCCTTATCCTTGAGAGTTTGGAGAACTACTCTGAGATGATTAACATAGTCCTCCTCATTCATTGAGTAAATTAGAATTTCATCAATGAATATGATAACAAACATGTCAATATATGGCTTAAATACTCTGTTCATAAAATCCATGAACGTTGTAGGAGCATTAGTCAAGCCAAATGACATAACTAGAAACTCATAGTGACCATAAAGGGTCCTGAATGCTGTCTTCGGAATGTCACTTTCTCTTACCCTCAACTGGTAATAGCCTGATCTGAGGTCTATCTTAGAGAAACAAGTGGCACCCTGAAGTTGATCGAAAAGATCATAAATTCTCAGAAGGGGATACTTATTCTTGATAGTAACCATGTTCAATTGGTGGTAATCAATACATATCCTAAGAGAACCATCTTTCTTCCTTACAAATAATATTGGAGCGCCCCAAGGTAAGGCACTTGGTAGAATGAAACCTTTATCAAGAAGGTCTTTCAATTTCTCTTTTAACTCTTTCAACTCAGCGAGAGACATTCTATATGGCGGAATAGAAATAGGTCAAGTATCAAGAAAAATATCTATATCGAAGTCTATTTTTCTCTAAGGAGGGACTCCAGGAAGATCATTTGGGAAGACCTCTGGAAACTCACTCACAGCTGGAACTGACTGAATAGGGGGTGTCTCAACATTAAAGTCATTAACTTATACTAAGTGATAGATAAACCCCTTAAAAACTAACTTTATGGCATTAAGGTATGAAATGAAACGACCCTTAGGCACTGTTGAACTACTCCTCCACTCTATAACATGCTCATAAGGAAACTGGAACTTAACTACTTGAGTTCTACAATCAATTGAGGCATAAAAATCATGAATCCAGTTCATACCTAGAATAACATATGGAGCCACAAAAGATAGACTCGCACCTGGATCAAGCAATGTTTATACATCACAAGTAAAGACTTTGATCATACAGTCACAACATCTGGTGATTTCTTCTGCTCTTGATGACTGGTGGTGGCATACAAATGGTTTGCTCTTTCGTCTGTCCCTGAAGTAGCTCCTCTAGGTGCAACATTGTCTGGTAGAGCCCGTAGAGTCGCTGAAGAAGATTGGGTTCTATTGCCCCCATTACCACTCCCCTTCCTGTTCTTAGGGCACTCTCTCATTGAGTGACCTGCTTGACCACACTTGAAGCAACCAGTGGAGTCATGATCATGACACGCTCCTGGGTGGTTTCTACCACACATAGCACATGTAGGAGTCTAGTTATCTCATTGTGCCACACTACCTTGACATTTAGTAGGTCTAGCTAATGTTATGAGAATTATGATTTCAGAACTCACCTTTGTTCTTTGGTGCAAGTGAACTAGCATATGATAGAGCAGGTCCAATTGGATTTTATTGAAAAGATGACCGGTTTGCATTTCCAGCTTTTTGTTGTCCCGACATGTAGTCTTAACCTTCTTATTCTGGAACTCTTCCCTATCTCTCAGCTTATCTTCCTCAGCTTGTTCCCCGTGGATCACAAGCCTGGCTATGTCTGTATCTCCTATCAACATAGCTTCATTGCCCTCCTTACTTGATAGGCGAGACAACCAGACACGAACAAGCACTACTAAAAAACTGTCAAAAAATGACGACCAAAAGCGACGGACTGCGTCGCTTTTTTGGTCAAAATTGACGGAAAAGCGACGCAGTCACCTCCGTCGCTTTTTAGCTCGACGCTTTTCAAAAAGCGACGGACTGCATCGCTTTTTGATTTCTTTTAACAAAAACGACGGACTCCGTCGCTTTATTTTAATTTTAATTTTTTTTATTTCTAAAAGGCGATGCAGTCCGTCGCTTTTCTGGAAATTTTATTTTTGAAAATCCCAGAAAAGTGACGGACAAAAGGACCTTGTCCGTCGCTTTTCTGGACATTTTATTTTTGAAAATTCTAGAAAAGCGACGGACAAAAGGTGTTCGTCGTTTTTTTGGAAATTTTATTTTTGAAAAATCCTGAAAAACGACGGACAAAACCACGTTGTCCGTCGCTATTCTGGGATTTAAAAAAAAATAAAAACCCAGAAAAGCGACGGACGAAACCACATTGTCCGTCGCTATTCCTGCACTATTTTTTACAGCAGAAACTATCGATCAAACCTATCCTTGGATTCGATCCAACAAGTGATTCCCTCCTCGAAAGAGGGATAGTCGTTAGGTCATGAATGATGCCCACCTGCAAATGCAATTCAATTCAATTCTACACTATTCAGCCCAATCAAACACACACAATTATAAACAATCTAAACAAAACATAAAACAACAAACTTAAAATAACATTTAAAAGTATCTAAACCACATATTAAAGACTTATAAAGTCTTTTGAAAATTCGTTTCAAAATTTCAAAAAGTTCATAAATGGCCAGAGATCTAAACTAGGGAGTGGGATCTACATAATCATCCTCATCACTCTCATCGTCGGTGCCATCGGGAGCCGAAGTAGTAGGTCGACGAGCAAGGTTCATCACTTGTTCTTTGATTTGCTGAATGGTCTTACTCATGCTTTCTTGTTCAGCTACTCTTCTCCGTTCTTACTCTGCTAGTGCCGCTGTAAGTTTAGCTATTTGATCCGACATAGCAGAAATCTGAACACCGTCAAGTGCTTCGGCTTGACGTGACTGTTTTAAAAAATAATTATTTGACTGATTTTGTGAGTCGCCACGTAATTTTTGAAGGAAAATTAAGAAAACTGATTTTTTCAAACGATTAAAACAGAAATCAATTGAAAATATTTAAAGGAGGTCGAGGTTCATATTAATGTTCTAGGTAGGGTTTTAAAGCACCTAGAACATCCGCTAACACGCGGTTATCCGGTAATTAACTATTTGGCTAATTGATTTTTAAGAAAAGAAGCATGTTTGACTTAATAAAGTTGAGAGAATGAACAATTTTGAGAGTTGAAACCATTTTAAGGAGGGAAAGGGGGAACATTAAGATATTACCTAAGTGCAATAGTTTATAAGATTGTATTTTAAGATCAAAGGAAGTGAGTGCTTAATTTAATTAATTTTTAGAAAAAAAAGTTTAGAATGGCTATCTATCGGGAAAATTAAATTGTTGTAACCTTAAGATTAAAGGCAAGTAACGGCAAATAAACAAATATAGAATAATGAAGTAAAGAAGGAAGTTTGGGCCCAAGTCTGGTTCTCTGTCCGCCTGGACCAGTACTTGGGCCTAATCTCGTTTTGGGCTTTTGGCCCAATTCTTGCCATCTTTGTACCTGTCCTAAACTAAGTTTTGAAATTTATTTCTTTGGGCCTAAAGGCCCATCTTCCACCTGCCCTAAACTAACAAGACGATAGCAAGTAAAATGACTAAGGTTTATGCCCAAGATAAAAAAATACAACTCAAAATAAAGGATGAGCTTTTGGGCCTAATTATGCCATATACATAGTATATACACTTAGTGTATACTGTTGTATATTCGCGTATCTCAGCTTCAATTTCCTGTATGTTCTTGTGTAGACGGCATGTATGCGGGCTTTCAGGGATCTGTACACCGATTTTCGAGGACTTGTTCTTCGATTCCACTTGACCCAATTGACTCGATGAAGGGAAAATTGGGCCTTAAGGCCCAAACTCAAGATACAAAGAATGGAAGAGAGTCCTCAATGGACTCAAGTAGAATCACATGCAACAACCAAAAGAAAGATACACCATTAACATTTGAAATAATGAAATAAAGAGACGTAACTTAAACGAGACAAAATTCCATTGAAGTGAAAGCCACTTAAGAAATTCAAAATCAAGAACACGATCAAACCCAGTTATTAGACCAAAACCCATGACTCTAAGTGAGACTAAATAAGCCAAATTAAATATGACAAAATTACCAAACAATCTGTGACACTAAACGGTAACACATATACTTATGGACATATTATATTATAAGGAATACAAAGCCAACAATCAACATTACTGAAAATATGGAGAGGACACATGCTGCATAAATAGCAAATAAAATACTTCATGCTATGGTCAAACATGCTATGGTCAAACAACTCTATTTAATGAAACCTAAAGATATTAATATCATGTCAAAAGCCAAAATGTTGGAGCCAGCTGCAGACTAATTTATCTTGGGCAAATAAGATAGCATGATTATACATCAAATGACTAAAGACGAGGCCAATTCAGTATCCGACCAAAGAAATCAGCGAAATATAAGCAAAAGGGCATGACTGAATGTAACATCTACAAAGAAAGGCGTTGTCGGGCGATAATACCAAGTACTACTAGACTACGCTAAACAACAAATTAAAATTAAGATAAATATATTATCATTATTTTCAGATTTGAACAAAAAATAGAAGGGTTATTTCTAGAAAATAAGAGAAAGCTTAGTTAAATGGATATCGATATGAATGACATTTCAATGACTTTAATCAATTAAAGAAATAACCATAGTCAAATTTAAACAGATGCCAAATTTCAGCACTAAATAAATTAATACCTCATCTAGGATTGCAAACCCAAAATAACTAAATCATAACCAACTAATGACCCTATATCTCTGGACGACATTCAGACTAAACAATGAACCATCAATGAGTATAAAAAGAGAGGATATATTCCACTAACGATGATCAACAAGCAGCAAAATAAATAAATAATAAAAAAAAGAACAAGTGAATCACCAATTTAGGCATAGCTCCAAGTATCATAAATAAACGGACCTTCCTAACATATAACATACTTCAAACAATAAGAGAGTATGGACATTGCTTTTATTCAATTAGAGGGGAACAATAAGCCTATAATACTAAAGAATTTTAAAACATACTTTGGGTATGAACTAAACAGCAACATAGTACAACATCCTATGATAAAAAATTTGCGCAATTTCTAAACATGAATAATAAGCAAAAAACAAATAAAAAATTCAAGCAATGGAGAGGGGAAAAAGAACCAACATGTTTTAGCATTTTTAAGGCATCAATCTGACATCAAGACAAGAGTGCAACTAATAGAATAGAGGGTGCTATTTCGAGACAGATTAAACACGAAGGTTAAGAAGTAAACATTTTTTAGAACCAATCTAAGAAGGCAAAACGGAAAGAGGACCAGATAGGCTGGATACTGGCATATGTGCGTACCACTTTTTGTGCAGGCATGTCGACAAGTCAAAGAAGTGAGAGTATGAACAAATTTTTAAAGGATTATTTGAATTATAATACTCCAACGAGTGCATTTGTGGTGCATATGATAAGGCTATTGACGCTAGATATGATAAAGTAAGGGAGAAGGATTACAAGACAACATTCAAGACCTATCTTGAAAACTTTGCATCCTATGGAAGATGAAGCAGCGAAGGAATATACAAGAAAAATGTTTCAGATTTTTCAAGAAGAATTAATTCAATCTCAAAAATTTATTGCCGAAAAGATTGAGGTTAAAGATGGAGCAAACATCTATAAAGTCCATCAGCTTCAAAGACAAAGGCCAACATATATCGTTGGTCTGGATCTTGCATTGAAAAGAGTTGTTTGTTCATGTCACAAGTTCGAGTTCATGTGAATTCTATGTAGACATGTACTAATGGTATTTATAAAAAAACCAGATTCACTCACTTCCGATTTATTATTATTAGATCAATGGACAAGAAACGCAACCAAAGAAAAAGCTAATGACCCCTCTATTGTAACACAAACTTTGAAACCTTCTACTTTGGGGTTTAATAACATTATGATGCATTCTATTGGGTTATCTGAGCGAGCTACAAAGTCTGAAAAACATTATCAATTTGCGCATCAAAGATTATTGCAATTGTGTGGAGAACTTGATGAGCTTTCTTATGAATCTGAGGAAGATTGTGTATCAGGTGGTCAAGTTAGTGAGAAAGATCGGAAAATAAACTCATGTGAACAAAGTCAAGATGTTACTTTGCTTGACCCTCCGGTAGCAACAACTAAAGGGCGTCCGAGATCTTTGAGGATGAGAGGTTTTCTAGAAGTTACTCAGAAGACCAAAAAAATTTCTTCTCCAAAAATTAAAAGAAATTCTTCTCAAAGCAAAAAAGGCAAACGAAAAGTGTGAAACTTAAGAGAAAGGAAACAAGGTAATTTCACTTAACATGATGCATATTATTTCTATTGGGATTAATTTTGTAATAACTTCTAAAATTTCATATGTAGTTCAAACATTAATGCTTATTCAGAATTTTATCAAGAATATGTTGAGAATGCTGGCTTTGCTTAGGCCACCTCATTTACGGTAAGAATTGCTCTTTCTTTAATCATGTCATTTATATATTGTTTACATGATAAGATACGTGTTGATGAATTATTATTCTCTTATCAGGATTTGATGAAAGCGGCTTCAACTCCATTCCAACAATGTTGTCCTAGTTAGTGAGTAAAAAGATAGAAGATTTGGAGCTTTGAGAATAAGAAGGAAAGAGGAAGAAATAATTCTTTAGATTTAGATTTATTAGTTTTTCTCTGTTTTTTAATTCTAAATAGTCCTTTCATAGTTTATTTTGATGTGTTTATGGTGTAAAGACAATATTAGTATTTGG